GATCCGGTTTTAACTTCGGCAGAACCAGCTGGCGCTGGGCAGAAACGCCAACCCCCTCCTTCATCCCTACGCGGCTCGGGGTGCCTGGCACGCGCACAGGAGCGGGGCTGACATAGAGCCCAGATCCACTGATTTGCTTAAAATTGCTTTAAAAAATGAAGTTTGGTGGACGTTCAGACGTGGCTAGCGCATCGCTGGTCCACAGCCACGGATCTGACCTTAGTGCCACTCCTCCCAACACCCTTCGCCCCTCACCCAGGAAAGAAGAGTGAAAGCAGATTAATTCTCGGGCATTTTACGTCTCCATCAGGATGAAACCCGTCGGCAGCTCGTTAGAGGACTGGTGGTGAAGGGCTTGGGGAGAGAGGTCCCCAGACTCTTAAGGTGTTCGTGGTTCTTCAGCTCTCCATCACTTGGAAGCATCTGCTCTTTCCGCTCCTGATGCGAGAGGCTGACAAAGGCTTTCGGTAGCTTTGGAGGGTGGATTCCACTGTTGTTCATTTTAGTGAAGCAGAAGAGGTTTTGGATAAAGAGAAAAGCGAGCGTTTTGGGGCTAGCTGCAATCCCTTTATCAGTGTGCCAGCATCTAACCTTCAGCTGCCGACTGCAGTGATGGTGACTGGTGTGGGCAGGTGAAAACACCACAGACACGAAGAAGTTTCTTTTGATAATGTTATTTCTTACCCGGGAAGTGGTGTGTGTGAAACTGTAGCACTGTCTGCACTCAGCATTTGTATGTTCTGTTTTCTGTGTCTGAGAGTGACCTTTCTTTATCAAACAGCTACGTGGTTACATTTTCTTAAAACGTTTTTCCTTGCATGTGTTGTGTTACTTAAATGCACTGACTTTCTGCAAAGTTTTTGCGAGATTGTCTTCAACAATATGAATTACTGTAATCTGAAATTTCTTCTTCCAGGTTTTCATAGAAGCTTGCCTGAGAGACTGGAAAGGAATAAAGGTCAGAACGTTTTAATTTGATAAATTACATCTGGTCATTTTTCAGCTCAAATCATTGTTAAAATAATGCAAATAATAATGGAATTTTAAATGTCAATACCAGGGAAATCAAGCTCATGGAGCTGCCTGCCTGAGGCTAATAAGGCTCCCGAATCACATGTTGAAAATTCATTCTCCATGAATGAGAACACATGTAAAGTGTTTCTGCAGTAGTAAGCCTCAAAGCAGTTCTGCTTGTAAAGGCTTTTAATTTAAGTGAGTTTGAAATTGTGACTAAGAATTAACTCACGTGCCTTTGTGCGCTGTAGGCTGTTTGGTAGTGGGCTGTAAACTCTTTGCATGTGGCTGAAAAACTGCTCTGAGGAAGGAAAGGACCATCACTATGTGTTTAAAGCGGTGTCTCGCACTGCATATTTGAATGAGATACATTCTGTCATTTGTTCATTTATTTTTCAGAACACAATGACTGCTTTGGATGATAAACTGCTTGGTGAGAAGCTCCAGTATTACTACAGCAGTAGTGAGGGAGAGGATGAAGACAGTGAGAAAGAAGATAAAGAAGGGGAGAGCACCATTCCTGAAGGCGTTGGGGAGGTAGAGCTTAGCAGCGATGGCAGCGCAGTCAACACAGGTATCATCACGCTGATTGTTTGGTCAATACTTGGTTTACTGGAAGATTTGTGTTATTCTAAAATTTCATTTTTCGAAATGAAAGTCCTAGGTTTATGCATACTTGAGTCACAGATTGATCGTTTCCTGGCTATAGTCTAGCCTCATTTTAAATAGCTGGTTCTTTAACGTTTGACTTCTCCTCTGAGAGACTTCAGCATTGTATCTAGAGCATTACGCTGCTCCCACTCTCGGAGACACAGCACTAGTCTGAGTCGCTGGTGTGATCCAGAGGGTATTTCTTACCTTCTTATGAAAGACTGTCCCTCTGTGTTTTACAGTTTCTCTGAGAATGATGAAAGATTTAATCTTTGTAGAAAAAAAAAATAGATACAAGCTCAGGGATGTGTAAATGGCAAATCACTACTTTTCGTTTCATTTCAACGTTTTGCACAATACACAAAAGGTTTATCACAGGGCCACTATTTTACTGCTGACTTATTACTTGAATTTTCAATGATAGGTGTGATTTTACTACCCTTTTACACCAAATACCTGTGCATTTAATTTCAGGTCCCAAAGGCGTCATTAACGACTGGCGAAGATTTAAACAACTGGAAACCGAACAGCGGCAGGAGCAGCGCCGAGAAATGGAACGACTCATTAAAAAGTTATCTATGACGTGTAGATCTCACTTAGATGAAGAGACTGAGAAGCAGAAGCAGAAGGAGCTTCAGGAAAAAATCAACGGAAAGGTAGCGTGGCACAAAGGAGTCAAAGTGCCCCTTAGATGTTTAACGTTTTCAGTTTCCTCACTTGAGTATGTGAAGCCCCTGGGAATCCTTGTGCTAGCAGTAGGCAGCTATTGTTTCTCCTGGGGAACAGGAGCGGTATAAGACACGCTGTAACTGTAGTTGCCAGATGTTGTCCAGTTGAATCATTTTCTATTTTAGTGGTATTTCAGGGGCATTCATTTGCCCATCTTAAGAAATAAGCAATTTAGCTGCTGTACCAAAGATGTCCACATTCTCTTCCCACAATTCCCTTACCTGTTTATCAAATAAGTCAACTGTAGGGGATTTAGGGGATTAGGAGTCCTTATTGTTTTCGTATTTAGCAAGTGAATATTGAGAATTTAGCTTTGACTTTGAGCTCCAAAGGTAGAAAGCGTTTGAAGTAGGGAATGGTTTTAATCAACCGGGCTGTCGAACTAGCTCTTAAAGTTCTAGTCAAGAAGTTCCTGATCAGCACGCAGTGCTTCTTGCTTTCAGATGATGAAAGCTGCCCACACTGTCCTATACCTGGAGTGATGCAAATAGGTTGATTGCGGCAAATGAACAGATACGAAATGCATAAAATCCTGTTAACTTCAGTTTCACAGACAAGATAGTGTGTTTGGTTGCCACAAAATGTTAACTGAAAAACTAAAGGAAAAAGCTGATGAAAAAGGAGCTGGACTTAGATCAGCATGGTGTCCACGTCAGTGCTCATGGCTCAGTGAAAGCACACACCCACCGTTAACCTGAATTAAAGTGGGAGCGTGGAGCAGCCACGTGTGTTACTAGTGCAGCTTGGGGAAACTGCAGTACCCAAGCCTGAAATCGCTGTTCCCACTGGGCATGGCTTCTAATTAGATCAAAATGGGGTGTAATACAGAGCGTGCTTGAGCCTTCGTGGGTTGCACTTTGCTGTTATTAAAGATGAGTGACCCATATTAATCCTCTTGATCTAAATTCTTGTTATATAAGTGACCCACATGGTGCTGCTGATCTTTTTCTCTTTATCATGTATCTTTGTATGTGTTTTTTAGATGACGTTACAAGAATATAACATGATTCACAATGATGAAGATGATGAGGAATTTTTACAGCGGTACAGGAAGCAGCGAATGGAGGAGATGAGGCAGCAGTTGTGCAGCGGGCAGCAATTTAAACAGGTTTTTGAGATTACTAGTGGCGAAGCGTTTTTGGACACAGTTGATAAAGAGCATAAGAGCACGCTGATCATGATCCATATTTATGAAGACAATATCCCTGGCACTGAATCCCTGAATGGCTGTATGATCTGCCTGGCCGCTGAGTATCCAACAGTGAAATTTTGCAGAGTTAAGAGCTCGCTCATTGGTGCTAGCGCTCGCTTTACTAACAATGCCCTGCCAGCTCTGCTCATCTATAAGGCAGGTGAGCTCATTGGCAATTTTGTGCGAATCACTGACCAGCTTGGAGAAGATTTTTTTGCTGTAGACCTGGAGGCTTTTTTGCAGGAATGTGGTTTGCTTCCAGAAAAAGACCTAGTGCTCCTGACTTCTATACACAATCCATCTGCATGTTACAGTGAGGACAGTGATCTGGAAATTGACTGAACCACTTAGACCAGGGGGCCAGTGGGTGTAGTTGTACCGTGGGATGTTCTTGTGCTAGGGATTGTTCTCTTTCTTCCTTAGTGTGGGTATGGATTCTTCCCACTCATGCACTTCGACTTTGCTCGTTAAAAATAACGTAAGGGATTCCTAGCATTTTCTTAAATTAATTCAGTAATGTAGGCACTGAAACAGCCTTGCTTTTATGCAATTCAACTGCATTTCACTAAACATGAAGTTCTAACACAGTAAGTTTAGGAACTTTAGGAAGTTTAGGAAATCATGTCTTGTCATCTCTGTTCTCCAAATCACTTGATTTTTTTAAACATTTAGTTCTCAGATCAGCTGCGTGTGGTCATTCTCTGTACAGGTTTCCTGAAAGGGTGTATGTGAGTACCACTTGGCTCGTGATACGGCCACCTGCTCCCTAAGACAAGAATTGAGACCACAAATAAAGAAGCTTTGAAGCATCCAAGACTCACTAACCTGGAGCTGAAGTTCTGTCAGTAACAGTGCAAGGTCCCATCTTCTGTTCCCCAGTTTGCAGTCTCCTTGGAAGTACCTTCTTGTTCCAGCACTTGGCATCAGATTTCTGTTGCTTTCTCACTTACAAATAACAACAGCCCCTGACTTCATCCTGAAAATTAACTTCTTAGTTGGAGAGGGTTCTTTAACCTTGCCAGAGACTTAAATGAGAAAATCTTCCCTCAGATACAGCTCTTAATATGTTCTTGGGTTTTAAAATGCCCATCCTTGGAGTTCAGCGTAGTCACTTCATCAGGAAATGATCCCTGCCTCTTAGGAAAGCTATGGAGAGCTCCAGCATGTGTGCTGAATAGCGTCGAGGAGAATTCTGTTGGCAAAATGCAGAATCTGGACTTGAATAGCCTCAGTATTTCGTCCCTCTCTAAAATTACTAAATAGTGCTCAAATTCGGTTTTTTCTGCCTTCATATTATTTGCCTCATATTATTTGAATGTTAATTACCCCGGGAGCCAGCGGATGACTGGTTGGGGTTGTGGGGAAGCGGCCGTCAGCCGACAGACCAGGTCACCAGCACAGCCCCCTGTTCCCACAGGGGTTTCCCTTGGCGGAAACTCCGTATCCAGTTTCTGCACAGTGCTCAGCAGGATCAAACACCTTGCCGCTGTCCTGGTTTTGCTCTGATGGCAGCTCCTCGGGAGCAGGGTTTTTGGGAGCATGGAGTTTGCTAACAGAAAAGTCTTGTGGGTGGGGATGAAACCTTTGGGGATGTTTGTCCCTCTGTCCTTAGTAAGGAATGATAAGTATCAATACTTAATAATCATAGAACCATAGAATCACAGAATGGTTTGGGTTGGAAGGGAACTTAAAGATCATCCAGTTCCAACCCCCCTGCCATGGGCAGGGACACCTTCCACTAGACCAGGTTGCTCCAAGCCTCATCCAGCCTGGCCTTGGGACACTCCCAGGGATGGGGCATCCACAGCTTCTCCGGGCAACCTGTCCCAGTGTCTCACCACCCTCTCTGTGAAGAATTTCTTCCTGATATCTAATCTAAACCTCCCTGTTTTCAATTTGTACCTGTTACCCCTTGTCCTATCACTACAGGCTCTTGTAAAAAGTCCTCTCCCAGCACCCTTGTAGCCCCTTCAGACACTGGAAAGCTGCAATGAGGTCTCCTCGGAGCCTCCTCTTCTCCAGGCTGAACAAGCCCAATTCTTGCAGCCTTAAGTATCAAAGGCCTCCGCAAAAGCATCACCATGGCTGTTTCAGTTGCGCAGTGACACTGATCGTAAAGTTCTCACCTTCCCCAAAACCACAGGGTGACTTCTGCTTCTGAGCACGGAATAAAAGCCATCTAGCCTTCGCTGAGCTCTTTGGTCTCTACGAACAGCTCTGCTGCTGCACCCAGCAGGCGCCTGACACTTCCTCCTGCAGCACCTTGGTCATTAGCATGTCAGCGATTACCTTTTTATTAAGGTGCGTTCATTTATTTTGTTCACGCTTCACTTCATAAATCAGATCATAATACAGGGAAGCAATTTTCAGGGCTTCAGGCACATGGCAGCTCACCCTGCCCCCAGCACATCTGGCGCTGCGTAGCTGTGAGACAACCTGGGACGCGTTAGAAACCATCAGCAGTTGATAGGGAATGCACGCACAGAATCCTCCAGTGATGCAGAGCGAGGTAAAGGCTTCGAACCGAACCGCTCCAGTGCGGCACCTGGCACAGCTGAGCGTGTGGAACGTGTGCGCTGCGCTTGGTTATTACTGAATAACCCACGGCCTTAATTGGATGTTACCACACGGTCGCTTTCTCACGCAGCGCTTACTGGGCTTGTTGGTTTTTAATTTTAAGGAAAGTGTATGACCCCGTGTAATGCCGTGTTTAATGATTAAATTTGAACCGCTCCAGTGCGGCACCTGGCACAGCTGAGCGTGTGGAACGTGTGCGCTGCGCTTGGTTATTACTGAATAACCCACGGCCTTAATTGGATGTTACCACACGGTCGCTTTCTCACGCAGCGCTTACTGGGCTTGTTGGTTTTTAATTTTAAGGAAAGTGTATGACCCCGTGTAATGCCGTGTTTAATGATTAAATTTAATTGCAAGTTTTATGTAAGATGCTTCAGAACTCCAGGAAGAAATTAAAATGTCCCTGTGTAAGCACTAGGTTCTTAATAAGAATGGATCTTAAAATAGAAAAAGAAGAATTTGTAGTTGTTTCTAATTAAACTGTGTTTTAAAAAATAGTATAGGCAGAAAAATAAATAATTTGTAAGGAAAAATTAGTCAGTTGGCACAAATTGTAGCTGGTTTAAACAAACTGGCAGAAATCCAGAGTTTAAAATGTGGTAAGAGATTATTTCTTTTAATCTCACAATTGCAGGGAAAAAGAAAAAGCCATGGAACTTCTATGAAATTAAATCATTAAGCGTGGTTATCAGCACATTTAAGGAAAAAGTAAATCAAAGGAGCTGTGATTTGTATTCAGGTTGGGATGCAGTGAAGGCTGACATGCAGACAGGGTGTATATTAGCATCATAGTCAAACCTGGCTTGGAGAGGGGGCTGGGGGAGAGCTGCCTGCTTGAGTTACTTTGAAGTTTTATTTTTATAAACTGCTTTTTTTTTTTTTTTCTACCCCTGTGGCAGAAGAACTGTAGTAATAGGATCAAAACCTCTCCTGCTGCTCTGTGTGGGGTGGCCTGCAGCAAGGTGACTCCTGGTCCGTAAGCACCAATGCTCAGGTATATGAGAGGCGGTTTGCAGTGCCAGTAGCAACAAGGGGAAAACAAGGGCTGGATCCAATTAATGATTGATCTGGAGGGATGTAATGAGTACAAGGGAGAGAGGGAGGGAGAAGGTGCGCTACGATGCTGCTTCTCGGCAAGGCAGCCCCCATGTGAGGCTGCTGGTGCTGGTGCTGGGCTCTGCTGCTGATGCTTGTCCACACGTGAAGCTAGATCCTTCCAAGCTGAAGGTGTGCCCCAAAGACCCACCTTTCTTAATGTGCGTTAAACAACGTAACAAGACTAATTCAGGATAGGGTTGTTGTAATTTGCAAGTGTCTGTCCCCTGTCCATTCAGTAGAAGTGAAAGCTACAGCTCCTGTTAACGCTCTATCTGCCAACGTTTTGGTTGGAGCGGTAATGGCTGCTTTATGTCTCTAGTTTTAGAGTGTTCCTGACCTGCACGTTAAGATTTGGGGTGTATTTATATACACATATGGGGACTAAAGTGTCAATGGCATTGTACGAATACCTACATAAAACAAAACTGGTTTGCAACACTCAGTTTGGCATTGAGAGCGTCAGGTTTTCAGGTTGATGCCGGTGCCTCTCCTTCCCCCAAAGCCGCTGTGCTCTGTCACACTCGGAACTTCATTTGAATTAACGTGTTCCTGCTAGATGGTTTGGGTTGGAATAAAGGATGCCTTTTCATTCTGTCTAAGGAGTTTTCATCTGTCTTTTCTGGCAGAGCTGCTTCCCTAGCACAGAGCACTGCTCTGGGCAGAAGGCTGACGGGTGGGGGTGGTGGGTGTCAGCGCTGTGCAGGGCTCTGGTGCAGTGGGTGGTAGAAGTCGGTCAACGGTGATGGCTGAAGGGGCTGTACACTCGGCTATTTTGTCACTAGTCCTTCTCTTGCCTTGGAGAAGGAGACCTTAGAGCACCTTCCAGTGCCTGGGGGGGACTTTTCCCAAGGGCAGGGAGTGACAGGACAAGGCGTAACGGGTTTAAACGGAAAGAGGGAGATTGAGATGGGACATCAGGAAGGAATTCTTCCTGGGGAAGGTGGGAAGGCACTGGGACAGATTGCCCAGAGAAGCTGTGGCTGCCCCATCCCTGGAAGTGTCCAAGGCCAGGCTGGATGAGGCTTGGAGCAACCTGGTCTGGTGGAAGGTGTCCCTGCCCATGGCAGGGGGTGGGACTGGGTGGGCTTTGAGGTCTCCTCCCACCCAAAACCATCCTGTGATTCTGTGATACAATTCTGTGTACCAAGTCTAAGTAATTCTGTGTCTGATTTTCATCTTCAAGAAGCGCTATAAATAGGAGTTGAGAAACACTTGTCAGGTAGGTTGTGTTGCCTCTGGGAAATGTTTTGTTTTGGAAAAAGCAGCAGCCTGCTGCAAGGAGGGCAGCCAGAAACAATGATTTTTACAGGAGGGTGTAATTCTCCACTGGGAGAGAGGAGCGTAAAATCACCTGGGTTTGTTCACATCTAGTGATGTTCCAAAACAAACAGAGGAATTTGGCCGTGGAACGCGAATGCCCAAGGAAACGCAGACGGCTGCTTGGCGAGGGCAGGAATGAGAGCACGGGATGAGCTTAACTCAGGCATTTAATCACGGTGCCAACCGGGGTGCCAGGCAGTAAGGGACAAGATTTAGAAACGTTTATGCTGATTTTTTTTTTAGCCTTCTATCTATCTCTTCTTTCTGAAATGTTCAGAACATACCTTTGTTGAAAACCTAAACAAGCGTTCCTCTGCAGCTGCTGGCGTGACTCGCGCCGCAGTGGGGCCTGCTGGGGTGGGCTCGGGGGAGTCCAATGCCTTACAGACCAGGGACTGCCTTTCCTTTTCAACTCCAGGGCTTATTTTTGCCACCATGGGGTTTAGGTGACTTTCTGCTGCTGCTCTGGCTGGGGCAGAGTCCTGGACGCCGCAGAA